AGGCAGAGGTTGCAGTGAGCCGAGATCGGGCCACTGCACTCCAGCCTGCCAACAGAGTGAGTCTGTCTAAAAAAACAAAAAACACAAAAAAATCCATCGAATCCAGCTAGACACAGATCTACACCTTTTACAAAGTTAACTCTAAGTGGGTCATCTAAAATGCAAAACTATAAAACTTCTAGAAGAAAATATAGGTAGTCTTAGGTAACTTTTTAGTTACAGCAAAAAGAATGATGTCTGAAATTTTTAAAATAAACTTTTAAAAAATACTTTGCTTTGTGGTAGACAGTGGTAAAAGAAAAGATGAGCCACAGAGAAAATACCTGCAAAACACACAAAAATTTAATTTCAAAACATAATAGTGAAACTGAAAACTGAACTCAGAAGTTTATTCTTAAGAAAAGCTAATAGAATTATCCAGGAAAAACAAAACTCACAATGTTACCAATTTGAAAGCTGATATAACTATAGGTGTAAATAAATATTCAACATATATGAATCTATTAATTACCAAATTTGACAAAATCAACTGTATGTACCTGAACAGAGAAATAATATACAAATTCAAAACATCCAAAAATACCAATATAACTGCCTAAATGAGTCTATCCAGATGATTTTATGAATAAATTATGTCAGATATTTTTTGCTATTTATATGATCTGAAAGAAAATGATATGATGCTTTGCAATTAATTTTGATGAAGGTAAAATTTCTTGGTAACCAATCTCATTGGAGAAACGATTTTGTTTTTATTTTGTATTGTAATCCAGGTACTGAATAAATGCATGTATATTTATTAAAAGAATAGGTTCTAAAAAGAGAAACTTCTTTACCCAAGGAATTAAGACTTATTAAAATTTTGTAATTTTAAGGTAAAAAATATATTTTTAAAATCTTGATATAACTTCATTATACAGATATATTAATATAAAATATAGTAATGGGACTGTAATATACTGATGCATTACAATGAAAAATGTAATCCCTAAAGAGATGCTGTAAATGCTGAAAACACATTTGATTATATTAACTTACATATCTTATAAAAATTCTTGATATAAAAATAGTATATTATGCATTCTATCTCAAAGGAATAGTTGATGTTTATCTTAATAGTAACATGATACATTCCCAATGAAGTTAACAATAAAAATAGTGAACAAACATTGTGGTTTGACATTGATCTAGTTCTTGCTGGCTAGAACATTGTGATCAGACAGATTATACATATAATAAGTGGTATAAATTATCACATCTTTTTATTGAATGTGTGCCAAATATTTAATTCAGAGTTTGACATATAACATATGCATAATAAGTAATAGTTACTATTAGCAATAATGTTTATTTATACATTAAACATAAACTATAACATGATTAAAACCAATTAAGATAACTCAACAAGAGAAGAATTTTTTTAAATGATGCCCAGAGATGAAGTACTTATAAGAAAATTAGATGGAAATAGAATGGGGAAATTTTCCATTCATTATAGCAACAAAAATTAAAATGCTTAGTATAACAATAATTGTACAGGATCTTTTTAGAAATGACTGTATGACAACCACAGTTCATTATTTGATCAATGGAAAAATTTTACATAAAAACAGATCCTTATTATAACCTTAGATATTGATATGGTTTGGCTGTGTCCCCACCCAAATCTCATCTTGAATTGTAGTTCCTATAATCCCCACATGTTATAGGAGGGACGTGGTGGGAAGTAATTGAATCATGGGGGAGTTTCTTCCATGCTATTCTTATAATAGTAAGTTCTTACGAGATCGATGGTGTTAGAGGGCTTCCCCCTTCACTCCGTTCTCATTCTTCTCTCCTGCTGCCATGTGAAAGACATGTTTGCTTCCTTTTCTGACATGTTTGTAAGTTTCCTAAGACTTCCCCACCTGTGCTGCACTGTAAATTAATTAAACCTCTTTTTTTAATATAAGTTACCTAGTCTCAGTTATGTCTTTATTACCAGTGTAAGAACAGACAAATACAGATGCATAAATTCAATACAGTATAGATGCTGATTCTATCCAAGTTGATTCTACTTAACATTCCACTGGGATTATATGAGGAACTACACAAAATTATTCTTTAGTTTATCTGCAAAAAAATAAAAAATAAAAGAGCAAACTGGAAACTTTGTAAATAAAAAAGAGGAATCGGCAAAATTTGGTGCAGAAAAAGTCAAACAGCAGTGAAAGTGCCTATGCAGTTGAGAAATAGACTCAAAAGCTTGTATTTTTCTTTGTTTCTTTTTTTTGTTCAAATTTTACTTTGGATTCAAACGTGCAGGTTTGTTACATGGGTACAATGCATGATGCTAAGGTTTGGGGTATACATAATCCCATCACTCAGGTACTTAGCATAGTACCAGATAAATAGTTTTCCAGCCCACTCTCTTCCTCCTGTCCACCCAATAGTAATCCCCAGTGTCTCTCATTTTTATCTTTATGCCCATACACACTCAATGTTTAGCTCCCACTTACAAGTGAGAATATGCAGTATTTGGTTTTTGGTTCCTATGTTAATTCACTTAGGATAATGACCTTCAGCTGTGTCCATGTTGCTGCAAACGACATGGTTTTATTCTTTTTTCATGGCTGCATAGTATTCCATGGTGTGTGTATGCCACATTTCCTTTTTCCAATCTGTCATTGATAAGCACCTAGGTTGATTCCTTGTCTTTGCTATTGTGAATAGTGCTGCAATGAACATATGAGTGCATGTGTCATTTCGGTAGAATGACGAAAAGCTTATTATAATCACTTATAAACTACAATTAGAATTTCAAGCAATGGATAAAATAATTAATTCAATAAATTGTGTTTGGGCCAGTTGGCAAGGTATGTTAGAATACTAACATCCAATTAAATGTATTAATATTCAAATGTAATAAAATAAATTTATAAAAATACTAGATAGATCTATCATTTTGAGTTGCTGAAAGTAGTTCATATTATGACAGATTCAGAAATCATAATATAAAATACTGATAGACTTATTACATAAAAACTAACATAAGTCTTTTAATGTAAAATCTCTGTGGGCAAATTAAAAAGCAAGCAATAAAATGAAAGATATATTTAATAATGGAGGGTCACTTTCAAAGTGTGATACGACATGATACACACATAATCATGTATGTATTTTAAAAAATATATTCTACTAGAAAAAATAGTGAAAGGATTACATAGGTAATTAACTAAAATAACTCAGCTGCTATTAATTTTATTATGGCAATTTCTCATTTACAGAAATTTAGAAAATACAACATTAAGGAACAAAGCTATCTCATATTTAGTTTTTAACTTGGCAAAGATATAACTATGGATTAAAGGCTAGTGCCAGAGATGGTGTAGGGTGATCGACAGCCTCACATAAGTTAGAATTACAGATCAGAGCAAGTTTTGTAGAAGGCAATTTGATGAAATGTAATAAAAGTCTTAAAAATTTATATGCCCTTTAACCTAAAATTTCCACCTCTAAGTTTACTTACTTAAGTGACGAAACAAAATATTTCAAAGGTTTGTAAAACGATTAAGGAGAACATTTCTAAAGTAAATGTAAGTGATGGATAAGAGAAATACATTAAAGAATATAAAAGACTACTAGGAGCTTTAAAACATGATAGTGTAAAATACTTTTTTTGGATTAAAATAAATACATTACACATAGTTACTTGAGAAAAGAAAAATTTAAAGTTATATTATGATCTCATATGTATATGCATAAAAATATGAAGAAATACATATGTGTATATATATATAATTAATGTATGGATGCATGGTGGTTGGATTAGGCTGAACATATCTTTGCTTTTTATGTTGTTCTTGCTTATATTTTTTTTAATGTTTTCTCCAAACCTTAATTATAAAATACAGTTAGTGGAAACTAAGTTTACAATAGCCAATGACCACTTCAGGAAGATTGAGAGCTATCATCTAAACAAACCCTACACACTAAGAATTGTGCTATTTTGTCGCATATTTATATTATTCAATGCGAACACCCATAAGTGTCATCTCACAGTGATATGCTGAGACCTGATTTAACTGGATAAGATGGACAAAAAGCACCATTAAATTTATCTGTGTTCAAAATCCCGATGTTCATCAACATTTAATAGCCTGAGAATTTTACTATACATGCTAAGTACCACAGAAACAAGCATGGGAACTAAACTCCACGTATAAAGTCATTGTGATAGTCAGCATCCACATTGATCCGGGAAGATACACTTTTACTAGTTCTGATGACAGCATCCATACATTTCCTGCTAGTATCTGGTGAGGAGATTTTCTAAACTTCCCTTCACTATCTTATACCTGTGGTCTTCGGTGTGAATCCGAGTCCCATTCTACCTTTATGATACATTGTGAAATCAATATAAACCAAGCAGAACATCATTCTTGGAAAGCAAAAGTATCAGTCAGAGCTCCAAATTTGAAGTTCTCTGACATTTCTGCCTTTGTAGTTTCTGTTTAAAAATTCCCTCTGCTATAGTTTTTCTTTATTCTCTGAGTCTGTGATTAATCCTTCTGGCCACCAAGGACAGGATGAATGTCAGAGTAGAGAATGACAGGAAATTGGTGCAGAAAGAGAAAGAAACTAAAGGCACATCATTTTATTTGTAATTTAATGTCCTGGCTGTAAGACACTGACTGGAAGTCTTCCAGGTAAAGGATGAAATGAGTAAGGAAAATCACCAGATTACAATAGTCTTCCTTAACTGGTGGGGCTTCCGCATGAACCTCACACACCACGCTAGCAGCAAAAATCCAGAAGAAATCAAGAGAAAATGTGTCTTCAGAACAGAGGCCACACACAATTTTATAAGAAAGTATAGCGACAACAAACTGCACTGTGAATTGGAAGTTGTTATCCCCGCAAATTCCTCTCCTACGTTTCCACACAGTATTTTCCAGCATATAGTCAAATACCGCATTTCAAGTACAGGTATTGATCGACTTACGACCTATGCAACTTACGGCCATTCGACTTTACGACCACAATAGCTAGCCACGGCTGCTCCTGGCAGCGCAAACGTTGCCCAGCTGGGCGTACGACAGTGCGGACCAGCTTCCGGCAGCACTACCATCTCCGCGTGCATATAGCCTACTCAACTTACAACCAAATCGTGTTACGACCGGTCTGTCAAAAACCAATCGTGGTCGTAAGTCGAGCACTAGCTGTAGTTATAATTAGCAGAATATGGTATCACTATGAAATCTGTGCATAGACATTGACATTTTAAAAACTAGGAGAAATATAAGAAGCAATTTTAAAGGCAAGTATACATCAGGAGAATAATTATTCCAGGACACAAAAGGGTTCAAGTAGTTCTCCATTGTGCTAGGAAAAAAATAATGAAAACATATTTTCTAAGAAAGGGAGACAACATGAAAAATACAAAGATAGGTGAAGAAAAATGAGCATATGTGATGCATATATTATTTATAAAAGTGAAATTAAATAAATGGAAAATAGGAACAGAAACATCTGAATTATGACAGCACCTATATGATAATAATTAGCATCCAGAGATCACAGGAGAACATGGTTTTATAGTAATAACTAGGAACGAAAAATAATGTATAAGAGTTTTGTATCCAACCAAAATATGCTTCAGTTGCAAACACAATCTAGCAAGGTAAAACAGGAAGGATTTAGGAAATATGCCTTAGGCTTGTCTTTTTTTTTGAATTAAAACAAAAAAAATTTTAAACTATGAGATGAAATCTAAACAACCAAAAAGATGGATTAAAAATAAGGAACTCAGAAATATTAAAGTCATGGTAAAAGAACAAGCAGCACACAGTAATGAATTTACATATTCAACTAAAATTAACCTATTCCTCAAACATGGGTAGAAAACCAAATATAAAGTCTATAAATCCTGATTGTGTTAAAGTAATAATATTAACCAAAAACTGGTAGAGGAGAGAACATCAGGGATAGTTTAAAAGTATTTAATTCTTTGTTAAAATTGGGTCAATAAATCTGTTAACATTAAGACAGAAAAAAATGCCTGGCACGGTGACTCATGCCTGTAATCCCAGCACTTTGGGAGGCCAAGGTGGGCAGATCACAAGGTCAGGAGTTCGAGACCAGCCTGACCAACATCGTGAAACTCTGTCTATACTAAAAATACAAAAAAATTAGCAGGGTGTGGTGTTACCCGCCTGTAATCCCAGGTAATCAGGAGGCTGAGGCAGGAGAATCGCTTGAACCTGGGAAGCAGAGGTTGCAGTGAGCCAAGATCATGCCATTGCACTTCAGCTTGGGTGACAGAGCAAGACTTTGTCTCAAAAAA